AGGAGTGCGGCAGCCCCGGCGTGGGCTCTGCTCCTGTCTGAAAAAGGGGTGAAAAGTGTTTTCCTTTGGGGGCACAGGGAAGCACGGCCCCAGCGAGGCGCCAGGTGCTTCAGCCACGGCTTCACCTTCGACAGAGTTATAAAGATTTACTGCTGAGATTACTTCTTTCATTTGTTGCAAAATATTTTAGTGCTTTCGATGTGTAAAAATAAGGTTTGTCCCATCTTATCTCACAGAGGAGCGAAGGAATGGAGGAGAGGGAGGGAGCTCATCTTGCCTGTCTGTGGCAGGCAGTGCATGTCTTTCGTGCCGGCTGTTAACCAGTTAGGTGCCACGTGCTGCTGCCGCATCCTCGGATCAGCTTGTCCCCACTGAGTCCTCGCTCAGGGCTGCGGTGCTGCCGGCGCTGATCCCCAGGACGTATTCCCCTGTGCACCCCGACATCCCGCTCGCCGTTCCCTTCCAGAGCGGGGCATCTGCCTGGGGAGCCCAGCGCCTCCTGCAGCATCATGGCCTGAAAATTAAAGCCATAAATTGCCGGTGCGTGAGCTCGCCCTCCTCCAGAGAAGAGGGGGCCCAGCCAGGGATCCTGCTGCCAGCACCAGGCCAGAGGACACCCGGGGCAGCTGGGCTGCGGGAGCAGCACGGAACATCCTTCCTGGTACCGAGCATCCTTCCCAGTGCTGAGCATCCTTCCTGGTACTGAATATCATTCCCGGTCATGAACATCCTTCCTGGTACCAAGCATCCTTGCCAGTGTCGAGCATCCTTCCCATTATCAAGCATTCTTCCCAGTGATGAGCATCCTTCCCAGTGCTGAGCATCCTTCCTGGTGCTGAGCATCTTTCTCGGTGCCATTTTGATCTCACAACTGCTTTAACCGAGCAGACACTGATTGCCAGAGCCCCGATGCTGCCGCTCCCGTGCTGTCACCGAGCTCCTCGGGTGCCGAATTGTTTGCCTGACTGACAGCTGAGCAGCCCAGACAGGTCTATTATTTCTACGGGGCCCGGGCCCCGCGGGCCTGCAATTTAGGTCTGCGCTATTAACTCTGCCTTGTTCTCCACTTTGTAACTGCTTTAGTGCCTTTAAAAGTGTACAGTTAAAATCAGGGTTAATTAGGGGCCCGGCAGCTGGGCTTCGCCGGCGCCCATTATGTCCTGGTGGAGCTGGGGCCAGGGGTAATTGGGGACTGCTGGGGGTTTGTGCCGGCCGACTCCTGTGCGGCACAAGCCCTGGATTGTCGGCTTTCGGTTAGCCTTGGTCTCTCCTGCTGTAAGGATGGCTTTGGTTAGCTTCCCTCCCCTCCTTTCTCCCCATCTTTCCTTCTTCCCCGGCCCTTGCGGACTGGCTGCAGCCGGGCACAGGGCGGGGGACCCCGGGGACGCCGGGAATGCCGGGGATGCTGGGGATGCGGGGGATGCTGGGGATATAGGGGATGCTGGGGATGCAGAGGATGCAGGAGGTGCCGGGGATGCAGAGGATGCGGGGGATCCCCATCCCTGTCGGACATTTTGCACAGACCTGGCTGCGCTGGGCACGGCGGGGCTGGAGCTCCCCGACCCATAAACCGAGATTTATTCCGGATCACGGCACCGGTGAGGTCCGGGATTTACATCTGTGTCTCAAACTGGGTTTGGTGGCCAATTTGCTAAAGTAAAAAGTTGTTTAGCTGGAGGCATAATCTTATGAGCCTGCGCTGCCATTATAATGGCTTCTCATTTCTGCCTGGCTTTCCAATAATGCTTTGAGCAGAAGCTCGGAGTAATATAAAAAGCCATTGGATTATTACTGCGGGCGATGCATTTTCCATTTACAGTAATAAAATACTGAAGAAACAAAACAATTTAAAATTCCAATAAAATTCAAAACAAATCTTTGGCTGCTGAGCAGATTCAATTATTTAGCTGTTATTGAGTGCAGGCTGGAAAAATAGAGCAGGTCAGGGAGGGAGGGGGAGCCCGAAGCTGGGGGTGTGCCGGCCACATCCCGTGGGAACGCCAGCAAGG